AGGTTTAGGTAACTTACGGTAATTTACCTAGTAATTTACCGATGGTAACTTACCATTTACAACCCTGCCTTGAATATAAAAAAAAAAAAAATTATAAAAATTAATTCCTGCCAAAATTATGTATAATGCGGGCCAGAATTTTGTCGATCACAGCCGTTGGCCAATCAAAACCGAGAATCAATCACGCATTTTTATGTTTCTGCTATATCAGATATAAATATAATAGTTTATAATTTTTCAAATTCAATATTGATACAAAACCTGTTCACTATGCATATTTGTTTTGATAGGTTCAATATTCACTAAATTAAAATATTGTAATAAATTTTGGAATGGATAAAAATATTACTATATATTTTTATAATCAATATAAATGAAATAAATAATGAGCACGCAAAATTTGTAATGGTAGGCGTATACAGCACATAAGATTACGCTATAAAGATATGTAATAATCCTAATATCTTTTTTTTTTTTTAAAAAAAAAAAAAAAAAACAGAAACAAATGGTCTTAATGTCTAAGATCAATTGACGGTGTGGTGAATTCTTTCATCTTCAGCTGGATTTTTATGGTCTGCAGGGTTAGGTGTCGCCTCATATATAGTTATGATCTGATCATTCTTTATCTGTACATGTTTAAAGTTTGCGTGTAAGTTGCAAAATCATGCGACTTATTTCATTAAGAAAATTTATCTATAATTGCTTTTTCATTCCTTCATTATTTGGAATAATATAATATGTGCATGATCCCAAACCCGTGTGATTTCTTCCTTACCTCAGTCCATTCTCCTTTAAGTCCGATGTAAAAAATCCTCGTCACATCATCTCCAAAGTTTTCAGGAAAATAAAGAGTCAAATTTCTTACGTTGTACATTTTTGCCATCCTTGTCATATGAAAAGGTTAATTGTTTTTTTTTTTATTTTTGAGTTATCCGTAATTAAGATATTATGAAAATAAATTACCTTGTAATATATTCAACATTATCAGGACTAGAAACTAATTCCCACTCCTGGGTTGCAGTATAGGAATCAACGGTGTCAAAATCAATATCTTCGCGGTTAATATACCTGAATGATCGATAAAATCAGTAATACATGTATATGCATCACAGGGAAAGTAAAAACATACGCCTTCATTTTCGAGGGACAGCTGTCTCCAGGACCCGATTTGATTGAAATTGATTTTAACTTAACACTACCAGTGAAGCTATTGCAAAATACTGTTAAAAAGCAATATTGTTAGGGAATATCTGATCAACCAAACAAACGATAGTATACTAACGGGATGAATAAAATCAATTGTTCGTCGACGTCACTTTCCACAAACTGGTAAAAGTAAACGTATAAGATGGTTTTTAATTTGCAAAGAACACGTTTGCCTCACTCGTTAAAGCATTAAGACAAGCCTTAGTTGTATCATTTCTTTCGTGCCAAGGTTTTATGACATTCTTTCCTGAACCTGCTACACTTTCGTTCAAACAACGAATATTTTCATGGTCTATACATGGGTAAAGAGAAGCTTCAGTTCCGCGATCTGGACCGTCATGAGAATGTTCGTGTTCATGCGACTCATGCTCATCGTGACAACTCATTTCTTATAAATTGTTATCGAACTAGTTTTGATTTTCATAATAAACGATCAAAATTTCGATTAATCGGTTACGGTATTTAATCCGATTAAATTATAATCTTACTTTAATCGGCTTTATTCATTATCGATTGTTGCAGGCATTTACTAATTTCCCCAGGTTTCTATTGGTTAGGATTGTCGCGGATCAGGCCTAAAACTACAGGAGCGACCGTCGATGTTACACGACTGATCCTTCACCCGGTGTGCAACATATAAAAAAACTATTTTACAATAC